GAAAGGGGGGGGGGGGGGGGTGTGGGAAATGGTAGTAGTTCTTCAGCCCAGGAATTCATAATAATTAATGACTGAATGATAATTAGTGATACACTTGTGATTAGTGGAAAGGATTTTTAAAATGGCACATCTAGACTGCAAAATTCTCATGTCTTGTCTGCAAATACTACCTTGGTCACTGTATGGTTGTAATAACCTCTGAAGTGGGGTAGTCTCTTTTAAAAATACAACACTGAAATATAAACTGTTCTGAACGACTTTGCTACCATGCCATGCTAATAATTCTGACAGTAAATTGCTATTTACTACATAGCTATAAAAGCTGAAACACTTTTTTTTCTTCTTTTTACTGATAGAGCAGACCCTACCCTTTTAGCCACACCACAGCATTTATCTGCTATGGAAGGTGGGTGTTTTAAGAACTGTTTCAGTGAAATGAAGGCCAGCATCATGAAACCCCATTTATCCAGACAACCACAGTAAATTCTGTGTCGCTGTCTTTCTTTTCTGAGACACTGTTCAATGCAAGCAATTCACATCAGGGATCCAACACGGGATTATAAGAGTTGCCCCATTCTCATTTCTTCATCACTTCATGTTATGCTCATCTTAGGCTCTTTAAACAGCACAGGCCTCATATACAAACTGGTTTCCAATATTATACATTTGTAGATGGGTTTGACTTTTAGTAAAAGACATTTACTGAGGAACTGGAAGTCACAAGCCTTGATTCAAAACATCTGATTTAATCAGGATGAGGACAGATAAAGAGAGCTTTGTTCCTTACATATTCGTGTGAAGACAAGAATTGGACCCACGACTGACATATGACCTGAACCCAAAACAACTCAGTGCTATCTGTTTAGGAGCAAAAAGGACAGTGCTCTGCTCTGCGAAGTGCTATAGAGACGTCTGCACTATCAACTCTCCAACCGCACTTGGACCTTTTCGACAGCTAGAGACATTTAGTAGCAGAGGTGAAAGCTCTTTTGGCAACATGCCTTGGATAAGGAAGTCATAATTCAGAGTACCTGGCCCCCCGAGTATATTGTGTAAAGGCGGCTCATTCTATGATTAAATAGGCCACTGTTTTCTTCCCCGGTGCATATGCTGATGGGTTTGTGCCACACACCTGCTTCCTGATTAATTACACACTGCCAGCTTATAGGCACTTTTTGTGCCTATGGACAGCAAGCCATTCACACTCAAACAAGAATCTAACGCGGTGGCACCTCACACAGGAAGCTGGCTACAAGGAACGCTAAATGCAATTATACAATCACAGTCAATTTCCTTCTGTAGCAGCTCAGAAAGGCTAAGCGAGACAGGACTTAAGCATGCCTGTCAGACTCCTCTCCTGATCTTCACTTAGGGCTTATTCCTGTTTCCTGATGAGAGATTGTTAAGGGCAGGGGAGAAGGAAGGGAAACAACACCCCCCCCCGAGAGAAAGAGACTAAAACAGGATTTGTGGTTCCATCATCAATGCCCAGCTCCCTCCCTGCTCTTGCACAGAGACATATGCAGCAGGAAGACATACAGGCCAGCTACTTCAGTGAGCATTTCTAAGTCACTGAACTGCTAAGCAGCAAAGCATCAGCTCATTCCTGCGAGGGAAGTCTCGTGCACACACGCGCGACAGAAAGGAGCAGCTTATTTATAAACAACTTAAGGGAGGGAATTCATCCACCCACACACTTTCCTAGGCATTTCCCTGCACTGTTGATACTCAGATAGTATTTTCTCCTTTATCCCATTTACACTTTCCAGTAGTTGCCAGAGCCAAAACTTGAGGACCATTGCACTGAAAGTTTTTTTAAAACCACATTATTTGAATTCTGTAACGTTTATGACTAACTGCTTGCAATACAAAAGCAAAACAGTGGACCAGAAAGGCTTCTTTTGTTATAAAGGGCAAGTACTGCCTACCCACATACACCAGAAAACATTACTATGACCATGATTTTGCTTGCAAGGTGTTGTGCGCTACAGAATTAAACTCTATATGCAGGCTACAGCACATTTTGTTTAAGCCAACAAACTGAACAACAGCTGGCCAGTATCTGCTTGCTCCATCATAACGTGACTGAATAAAGCAAACAGTCAGTGATGCTTTCATCCTGCGGAGTAGACCGGGTTTGCGGAAACATATAGACAAGAAACAAAGCCCTTTTCATTTAAGGAAATGGTTGCCTTGATAGAGGCAGTATTCCAGCAAAGGTGGCAACTACGCACGCAAGCTTTTCACTTTGCAGTAACTTGTAGCTTTCTCTTTAACCTCTTAAACTTCAGGTATAACTATTAATTTTATATTTGGTATTCACATGGCTATTTCCACATAGAATATTTAATTTAGTTAGGCTGCTTATATAAGAGTCACGAATCCTATATAAAATCCATAATGAGGCAGAATTGTAACAATAAAAACAGAATATCAGAGGGAAAAAAATCTTCTAATAAAGCAACCTGTACTTTTAGGGTTGGTGAGCTACTGTAGATGTGATAGTCCAGGATGTAAACAAGAGGCAAGGATTTTTTGGTAATATCTTTTACTGGACTAACTATATAGTTGGGAGAGGTGTTAGACAACCTTTCAGGTACAAAGGGCCCATTTCTCAGATAAGGGCATCTTTAAAAAAAATTCACTTGCTATACTCTTAGGCACAGAATGCATTTAGCAACATTTTGTCCGACAGCACCCAAGTGTAGATTTTTATTTTTCCTCCCTCAAATTCCCAACTTTTTTTTTCAGGCATGACAAGTGAATCAGTTTTGCATCAAACGAAGCGCCTCTAACAGACATGAACTTCAGAAAGGCTTAAGCGCCATTCCTCTGGGGGATAAAATGTATTTCCTTTTAAAGAGCAGCAAATTTGGTATCTCTTCTCTTCCTCCCTCTGCCCCTCCAAAGATACCCCAAATTGCTAAACACTTCTGTAACTGTAGGCCTCCATGTTGGAGGATGGGAGGTTCATCCAGTTTTAGAATACACGAACAACCCTAAATTTGAGTCTTGACAGGCAAGAGATTCCCAAGCCAAATATTTAAATATGAACTCA